AATAACAACTCATAAAGAATGAATAAGTTTTTAATTTTTATGAAATTATTAAATAGTTAAAAAATTAAATTTAAATAAAATATTATAAATTATGATATAATTAAATAAACAATAATAAATTTTAATACGTAATTTTATAATTATATTAAATATTAAACATTATTTATAAAAACCACAATCAAAATACACTAAAATAAAGTTTATAATTATATATAAAATTATTGTAAATTTATTTTAACTTCTTACAATTTTTTTAAAAATTAATCTAAAAAAATTCTTAACCAAAAATATTCATATTTATAAATATTATATAATTAAAAAAAAAAAACTTCTAACCGCAATTCTACGCAGCCGTTCCTTGCTAATCAGGAAATTGAGTATGCGGCGTTCGGATCCTCGTGTCGGCCCAATTAAACAACAGCCATTTGCTCGCAAAACGGGGCTGGGGCACATGGACTTGGGCCTTCTTGGCATCGGCCTTCTTTTCATCAGGCTTTTTCTCATCGGACTTCTTCTGGGCATCCAGTTTCGGAGGGGGTGGAGGAGGCCCGACACTCACAACCTCAACGAATTTCCCTGCTTTTCTTGTCCGAACCATGATTTCGTATGGGTCTGCATTCCCCGTCACCGTCAAATGTTCCCTTTAGCTGCATCCACCTCTATTTTATCCACACCTGATGTTTTAAACCACAATGAAGAAAAAGTGTTTATCAGGTTCATAAAAAAAAAATTATTAAAAACTCTTAATGAATCATCTTTGCTAATTAACTTATTAAGAATAATTAATTAATTTTATAAGTCTTGTTATAATTTTTTGGCTAGTTAACTTAAAATTCCAGTCCGTAACTTGTCAAAATTTTTTTTTATTTATTTTTTTCAATTTTATTAAGGGGATTCTTTTGTTTTGGTTTTTAAATTGAAATTTTTTAATTATAAAAAAATTTTCAATTTTCTTAGTTTTTTTTATCTAATAATCATTATAATATAATTTAATATAATTTAAATCGCAATATACTTTTTCCTATAATAAATTGTTTGGAAAAGTTGTGCTTACCTTGTGGTGAAGAGACTGCTTTAAGGATTTTCTTCTTGCATTTGAAGCAAAGACATCAACTTTCAGGACGGTTCTCTGCACCATGGAATGATGGAAGAAGCTACTCTGTACCTAATACCTGAATCAGTAACAACAACGACTTCGCGCGGTCGATCGGCCGTTGTTAGCTAGTTACTACCGTTTTGATATTTAGGGGGGATTCTCGGGTTGTTCAATTAATGTTGTTCCTCTATATGGCGGATGCTCTATCCTTTTTGTGGCTTGTCTTTCCTTACTTTGTTTGTGTCGAACATTAAATTTTCATGATGTCTCGAATATTTTCTGGTTTTGTTTCTAATTCTAACCTTAGGTTGTCTATTGTTATTTGGATTTACTTATCTGGTTTTACACAGAAACCGTCCATCACTTGATGACACCAATTAATTGATACCCAGGCTTAGGCTAGGGTTGATTAATTGTATTGTATGTTTAGCAAAGGTCATTGAATTTTTTTAATATATATATAAGCGGTACTATAAGAATAATTTTTTATATCATATTTTAATACAATTTTCATGTATTATTAAATGAATAGATACATTTAATATTATAAGTCTCACATAAATTAAAAAAATTAATCATTTAAATAATATATTAAGTTGTATCAAAATTGATACAAAAAAATTATTCTAAAATCATTTCCCTATATATATATACTAACGACATCCATCTAAATACCAGGGAAACCAACTACCAACAATCTCACAGGCATTACAAAAATCATCCAAGACAGTGTTGCCTTTTTAGTAGGCATTTAGATTAATTGTTCAATTGTAGTTGATAGTTGATAGTTGATAATTGATATTTAATAATTAATAATTATTATTATTTATAATTAAAAGCATCAAATACATTCAATTAAAACTAAAAGTTGATAATTATTAACAAACTTCAAATCAAACACCCTTCGACAATCTTGTTTCTGCCAACCCATTCTAGATCTTGTCCATTGAAAACCAAGAGCCACCTAATCAAACCCCATGATTTTCATCCAAGTAAACTAACTCCATGATTTTTCACCCCCAAATCCTCGCGCATCAAAATCCAAAGCCACCATCCTGCTCCAAAACCAGCAACCATCTAAAAATCACCAGCCACTAATTCCTTGCAATTCCCTTATCAATCCGCAGAAAATGTTTTACGTTTTCATTTTTTTTTTTTTCAATTTTTTTTTTTAATCACAAACTTCCCAACTCAAAAACAGCCCACTCAGGCACTCACCGTAAACACGGCAAAGAATTCAAGCCAAAACTTCCAATTCTGCAGCAATCAAAACCACCAACAAAAAAAATTTGTTTCTCGATATCTTGCTGGATAATAGAAGGGATTAAGAAAGCAATCTCCCAAGTGGAGCAGAAGCCTTACCGGCGGCAATGGAAAGAATATTAATTTGGATAACGATTAGGACACAATAAGACACTGTACATGATATATTTATTAAAAAATTATTATTTTTAATTTAAAATTAAAAATATATAGATTTAAAAATACAACTATATATATAGAATGCAAAAACTAGCTATAACTAATCCTAAAGGAGTACTAAAAAGTGTGTTAAATTGAACATACATAAATTATTTTCTTCGTAATTAACTACAAAAATTATCCTTTGTATAGCCTACCCATTACTACTAGAAAATCTAATATCACCTACAAGAAATCATGTCGGAAACCAAAAGGAGTCTCATCAGTAGAAACACACTACAAGAAAATTTACATTTAGTGATTAAATTATTGATCATTAAATTTTTATTTTTCGTCACAAATTATTATTAGTGATAAAATTTAAATCGTTAGTAAAACCCTTGTTACTAATGCTCTTAATGACAAATTAAATACCTGTCACAAAAAATAATTTTATAGTGATAGAAAAAATTGACATTGTTAACAAGTTATTTATAACGATTTTATTCGTCACAAATGCAATTATGATACAAAATTTAGTCATTAATTATTAAAATTGATATTAAATAAAAAAGATATTTATATAATTACAACATAAATGATTTAACAAAAATTATCACAAAAAAATAATATATAAATTTATCACAAAAGTTTAATAAAAAATATTATTATTTTAATACTAATCAATTTTGATTAAAATTAATCAAATCCGATTAAAATTAATCAAGCCCGATTAAAATTAATCAGGTCCAAACTAATCTCAAGTTTTATTGAGATTCACATGTTTTATAGTGCAAAAATTTATTTTTTTAAATATTTATTATTGATGTGGGATATATTTATAGTGCAAAACCTTGTTCTTTTATGTGTTTTTTATCAATGTGGGATGCATTGATTAGAGAAAATTGATAGTTTCTAATGACGAAATATATTTTTTAGTGATAAATTATTTGTCATTATTGAATATGTAAAGTATATGTGACCAATATTAGAATTTTGTCATAATTGTAATGTATTATAGTGATGATTTTTATCGACAAAAACTTATTTTATCTCTATGAATATTTTTTGGTGACAAAATATATTTTTTATAATAAATTTTTTTGTTTATCATTAAATATGTATGCATTTATGACTAATTTTTTAGATTTGTCATGATTATAATAAATTATAGCGATAATTTTAAAATTTATCATAAATTTTTGTCACTAAAAATCATTTTTCTTGTAGTGACAATTTCCGATTTGAATCATGTTGGTGATACATTTGTCCGTATAAGCCTACTCAGTAATCCATTTGCCAATGTGAATTAAAGTTACGTTGGTAAATTGATCAAAATTATTGACAAAAGCCATGTCTCTATGTCTCTATATAGACATATATGTCTCTACCATGTGAGGACAATAATTGAGTTGTTGAGTGACAACGATGTATTGTAAATTCAACAGTAATTAGCTAGGAAATTAAATGACTCAGCCGTAAAACCTCTATATAAGGATAGCCAATATCCATGTTATTTGATCATCACCACCACAAACTAAAAGAAACAGTAGTGAATTAGGCGGGGTACGCAGGAGCTAGAGCCACAGAGAATTAATGGAGCTCGTTCAAGTGCTTCGCATGAATGGAGGCGTTGGAGAAACAAGTTACGCCAACAACTCCCTTCTTCAGGTAATGATTTTATCGAAATACATGCAATACTGCATCTGCATGGATGAAGGTATAATTTCATACGTGCATGAACTTGATTTTGGACAGATGAAGGTAATATCCATGACAAAACCGATCATGGAAGAAGCTATAACCAAACTCTACTGTAGCAATTTCCCGACGAGCTTAGCAATTGCAGACTTGGGTTGCTCTTCCGGACCCAACACTTTGTTTCTTGTGTCTGAACTCATTAAGGTCGTGGCTACGCTTTGTCAGAAACTAGATCGACAGTCACCGGAATATCTTGTCCTCCTGAATGATCTTCCAGGGAATGATTTTAACAGCCTTTTCAAGACCCTGCCGAGTTTTCAGGCCGAACTCAAGAACCTGCTGGGGGCTGGGAGTGGACCCTGTTTTTTCACAGGTGTCCCTGGTTCGTTCTATGGCAGGCTTTTCCAGAGCAACAGTCTGCATTTTGTTCTCTCTTCCTACAGCCTGATGTGGCTTTCGCAGGTAATTATGACTCGCACCTTTCGTTTCCCGTCGAATGGTGAAATGTTAATCTAATCTATCGAATCCTCAATTGTTAATAATTAATTTAAATTAATTTTTTAATCATTATTTTTATAAAAAAAAAAAACTCCCAGTCCCAAACACCACCAAATACGAGCTTTGTGGCTCCTATCATTTTGTTAAAATTATTTAATTTTGTTTAATTTGATTATTAAAAATAATTAATAATTAATAATTAATAAAATAACATATATTTATTATTCAATATATTAAAATTAATTTATAAATTAATATTTTCAAATATCATAACTAACTGTTTAAGAAAAAAATTATAAATAAATAAAATATTAATCAAATTAAATAGTTTTTGAGTGATTTTAATAAAATGATGGGTAGTTATAACCACACTCCTTAATACATCTTTGGATCAAACATAATTTGTTTATTTAACTCAAAAAATGAGATCTATTGTTAAGTATGTGTTATTTTATAAGTCAAATTTATATTTTAAGTTTTAAAAATAACACTTAAGAAAAGTAATATACCAGTTGATATGAGTGTGTCTCTTTAAAATTATTTGAGAAAAAAATTAATTTTGAAATATATAAAAATTAATTTAAAAACACTTTAATTGTGTAAAAAATAATTTTCTTAGTGAAGGACATTTTTTTATCATGACTTTTACAATGAAAAATAATCTTCTTCTATCACTTTATTTAATCAAATTGTATATTATATGATTTAAATTTAAAATTTTTTATTTTTAAAAAAATTACTACTAAACTATTTAGTTAATTGATAAGTGAAGTACGTACTCATTACTTCAGGAACATGTTACAACCATTATCTACCAACACTATTGCAGCTTGAGTTTGCTCTGTCTTGAGAATTAAATAATTTTCGATACTAAATACTAAGGGAACCCTATTTTTTTTCATTTTCATCTCACATTTCTTTTTTGTTTGAAAAAACAACACTTGAAGAAAACCACGGACAATAGACTCAAACTCACTATCTTAAATTTATTGGGCCTCAGCTTCTGTCTAGTTTACACTGCTGGTATGAGGTTAGGTTTTCTTTGAAAGTGTTGCAGACAACTTTCTTTTCATATTATATTATCTAAAATTTTAATTTTATAAGAAATAATTAATTTTAATTAATATTTAATATGTTTTAGTATTTTTAATTAATATTTAGATATCTTTAAATGTAAAAAGACAAAAAAAAATAAACTTACAATTACAGCACAACCTATATGGTATAACACATAATTCTCAAACAAAGCTTTAATCTTGAGTTATTAATATTAATTGGAACGAATCATATTCCCCACTGAATTTGGCGTTTTGCAATCCTGCACTGAATTGTAAAATACTAGCTATTAGATGAAGGAGCTCTCTCCAATTATCAAGGCCCCTCTTAATCCAACAATTAGTGTTTTTTAGTCTAGTGTAGGTCAAATTGTAAAATAATTTTTTTTGTTAATAATTTTTGCACAAATTTTCCTTATGATGAGAATCATCATTATCCTATTGATTTTATTCAATTTCACGTATAAATGAAATATGTTCTTGTCTGCAGGTTCCTGAAGGCCTGGAAAACAATAAAAGGAACATTTACATGGCCAGCAGCAGTCCTCCGGACGTAATTAAGGCATACTATAATCAATTCCAACAAGACTTCTCACTGTTTTTGAAGTGTAGATCGGAGGAAGTGGTGGCCGGAGGACGCATGGTCTTGACCATATTAGGAAGAAGAAGCGATGACCCAACAAGCAAAGAGTGCTGTTACATCTGGGAGCTCTTGGCCATTGCTCTCAATGACATGGTCTCTGAGGTACTTAGTGATCCGATATAACTAGGAAGAGAAATTAATTATACTAACACGTTTTGATGCATCCATCTAATGATAATAGGAGATACAAGTACAATAAAAGATTTTTTTTTTTTAATTTTCTACTCACCTGTTTTAAAATTTAAATATGAAATTTTAAATTTTAAATTTTAAATTCTTACCAATTGAGACATCTATTTACAATGTTATTAATTGTTATGTTAATGAACCATGCATGATTATGAATAAATGCAGGGACTTATAGAAGGAGAGAAACTGGATTCCTTCAACATTCCTCAGTACACACCATCCCCGGCGGAAGTAGAATCTGAGGTTGTGAAGGAAGGAACCTTTGCCATAGATCAGTTGGAGGTCACTGGAGTGAACTGGAATGCATGTTCCAGTGGTGAATTTAGCCAGTCTGATGCATTTAAGGATGGTGGATACAATGTTGCAAAGTTCATGAGAGCTGTGGCCGAGCCTTTGCTTGCTTCTCACTTTGGTGAAGCCATAATCGATGAAGTGTTTGAACGTTACAGGGAAATTGTTGCTGATCGCATGTCTAAGGAGTGGACAGAGTTTGTGAATGTCACCATTTCCCTGAAAAAATGTTGATTTTAATGGATGGTTGAACAATAATTGACTGCGATGTCAAGTTCAAACTCTAATAGGGGTTTGATCTAGTAAGATGGAGGGATATCCTTATTATATATGGTTTGAATAAGAAAAAATAATTAGCTAAGATTCAATAGCATCACTCTTCTTCTTCTTCTTTTAATGGGAATTCAGTAGCATTACTTGAGTTTGTCATAAGGCATGTATTTGACCACGATTAAAGTGGCATTAATTACTTTACATGCGAGCATTACTGTTCAATGAAAATTAATTAGTTGCAATGTTAGTACTTAATATATATATATATATATATATTTTTTTTTCTAGTATGTAGATCATAGGAATTAGGGATTTAATACTAAATTTATGATTAAGGGTTTGTTTGGTTTGTCTATTTTTATTAGTTGATAATTGGAATTATTAAGTGATAACTAATATAGAACAATTGATATTAATTTAAGTTTTCATTTGCTAATATTGCATTGCCATTAGCAATAGTTTTTTTTAATATATCAAAAAATATAAAATATTAATAAAAATCACTAAAAGTTATAAAAAAAATTAATTAAGAATTATAAATTTACCTTTTATTTTTTTGATAAAGTGTCATTGCACAAAACAATAACAAACAAAACCTAAAATTAACTAATAAGTTGACATTTTTAAATATCCTAATTTGTGGGTTATAAAAAAATTATAAATTAATAAAATTAACCAAACTAAACACACTTAAAAGTAAAAAGTAAAAAAAAATCTACTACCAAATGTTGAGATCATGTGCATCACGGGTCAAACCCAAGTAAACAATGGCCACAATTAGAGGCATTCAATAATTATAACCTCAAAAATAAAAATAAAAATGGTGGGACTACGTGTACGAATGGATGTAAAATGCAAGAACAAAAATGAGAGGTTTCGTCGTGCATAACTACAAATGCAATGCACCTCGTTTATATTTTATTGGTTTAAGTACCATTTTGGTCCCTCAACTTTTCACTTTGGTACCAAAATTGTCCCTCAGCTTTAAAAAGTACCAAAATTATCCTCAGACTTTCATTTTTGGTACCAAAATGGTCCTTCCGTCAGTTAAATGACAGGTGGCAGGTTAGAATGCCAGCAAATCAATTCTTTTTTTACTTGATTAATGACATGGAAAAAAAAAACACAGTTGGCCATCTTTTCTTACGAGGTGGCATTTTTATTTAATTTAAAAATAATGATTATTTTTTTTTTTCATCCACGTCAGAAAAAAAAATATTTTCTTCCTCTCCAGATTTGGGATTTTCCCAAATCTGGGTTTGTCTCAAGAACTTCAACTCGAAAGCAACGTTTGTTGTCCTCTCCTCTTCCCTTATGTACACAAACCAAATGTTCTTCTCTTCGGTTACAATGTTCATAAAAGAGTTTCCGTTTCTACCAATTCCTTTTGTCTTTCGTTTTACGCGTCCCTGCGACGCTAACCCTAGACGATGAAGTTCGTTCTACACCGATCAACAACTCTGCTATTTTTCGATGTCCAAGGAGCCAAGTCACTGTTCTTAGTTTCCCCAAGATCTTGAACTCTCCTGATCTGTAAATCTTTCACCTATCTTTGGTAACAATTTTGAGAAAAACCCAGATCTGGGTTTTTCTCAAACCCAGATCTGGGTTTTATCACAGACGTTCCCAATGTTGCTTTGCCTCTGCTTTATTGTCACTTTCTTTATCATCCATTTGGTTCTTGATTCCTTTTGGCAGGTTGTAGGATTAGGCTTTCGATAACCAATTCCAGTTGTTTGATACAACAAGCTCAGATGGAACTTCGGTGGTGTCGTCGAAGAGTTCTATGCTCGATTCACTTCTTTGCTAGAGTTTTCTCAAACTTCTGGTGATCTTTCCTCATCAACAAATTCCTACTGTACGCCATTGCCTACTTTTATTTGGGTTTGAGAAATTGAAGAGTCTGCTTGATTCACTTCTTTGCTTGAGTCCACGTGATGCAGTGCTCAAAACTGTTATTTTGTGGTTATGTTGTTTGGAATTTGTTGTGGCAGAGATGCTCTTTATAAGGTATTTGGTTTGGATTTTTGTAGATCTACAAATATAAGGTTTGGTTTGGATTTAAACCATGGACTACAATGTGATGCAATGCTCAAAACACATTATTTTTGCAGATCTGGGTTTGAGAAAGGATAAGAAAAAACCTCATGTCGGCGCAGATGAAGAAGATTGCCTCTTTTCTCGCTCATGTCGGCGCCAAAACTTCTTGTGAATAGTGTATTTCTATTTTGAATTTGATCCATTATGAAGTTCAGTGCGCATTTAGCTAGATCTGGCAACTCTTAGGTATAGAAATTCTGTTTGGCTGCTAGGAAAGTGGTAGGAACTGAGAAAAATTATTATTTGATTCTGGGATTTTTTTGGCCACAATTTTTATTTCCTAAATAGCTCTCTTAAGATCAATCATTTTAGATTTGGTAAATGGGATGATCTTGCAAATATTAATGGTCTGTCTAATCTATTGTTTCCATTGTATCTGGTAAGAATGGATTATGGATTTGATACCTTCAATTGCTTGTTCAATCCTAAAACCCAGATCTGGGTTTAAGAGAGGAAGAAGAAGGGAGAAAAGAGAGAGAGAGAAAGAATACGAAGAAGAAAGAAGAAGGACGAGCAAAGAAAGATAGGTGGAAAGGAGGAAGAAGATGAAGTTTGAGAGAGAACCCAGATCTAGGTTTACAGAGGTAAGGGAAAAGGAAAGGTAATGGAGAGAGAAAGTGAAAGAGGAAAAAGAGATGACGTGGATGGAGAAAAAGGATTACAAAATTTTTAAATTAAATAAAAATGCCACCTTGTAAGAAAAGATGGTCAACTGTGTTTTTTTTTTTCCATGTCATTAATCAAGTAAAAAAAGAATTGATTTGCTGGCATTTTAACGTGCCACCTGTCATTTAACTGACGGAAGGATCATTTTGGTACTAAAAATGAAAGTCTGAGGATAATTTTGGTACTTTTTAAAGCTGAGGGACAATTTTGGTACCAAAGTGAAAAGTTGAGGGATCAAAATGGTACTTAAACCTATTTTATTTCACACATGCATCATGCTTTTATTGATGTGCATAACTGTGCGTAGGGATGACCCCAGGGGTGAAAGGTGGGAAACTCGCCACTGAACTTCTGAAAAAAAAAAGAAAAAAGAAAAAAAAAGGGGCCTATATTTTTTTTAAAAAAAATCAAATAAATTCTTTTTGAAAAAAAATTAAAATGGCATGTTTTAACTTTTATTCTTTCATAAGTTTTATGATTATTTAAAATAAATTTTAATAAAATATATACTTTTCAGTTATAGTAAACGAATGGTAATTGATTAACAAAAATTAATGATAGATTTTGTTGTACAAATAATCACTAACCACTTAACAAATAAAATAAATTTATGAAAATATTTTTATTCATTTGACACGTTTGTTATTATAATATATTCTTGGTAAATGATCATTTGTATCAAATAGCAAAATAAGATTGACTTGAAATTAGTATTATCAATTATTAGAATATTTAGTTTTATCATCTAAATCATATTGAATAATATTTTGTGATAAAAGTTTATGATAAATTTTAACAAGTTTTATATATTTAAGACCCTTAAAATTTTAAGTTTTGTACATTTAAGTGTCAATCTTATTTACAAGTGAAGAAATTTGTTAGGCAAAAATCATGTTAAGTCCCTCAACTTTTTCAACAGTTAGTGATAAGCCCCTAAACTAAAAACGTGGCAGATAAGCCCTCAAACCCCACGTAAGGAGCAAATTAGCCCCTCCACTAACTGGGCTCTATCACGCCGTTAGTGTAATGGCTTGCTTGGCATTTGACATCCAACTGGCTCCAACATGGCTTCAACGTGGCGCCAACCTCTTCTCCATTTTCCATGCTCTGTCCGTCTCCGAACCTACGTTGAAGATGATGCACATGACCTTGTACTGGGGCAAACAAGTCACCCTCTTTGACTCATGGAGTACATACAGACTCCAGGCACCGTCTTTCCATTCCCAAGCTTAACATTAGTAGGGAAATCTCTATCAATAGTTCCAGCACCGACATTTGTGACCCGTGGAGCAATATTGGTCACCGTTAGTCCACCAGGACCGCCATTCCCGACAGAAGCAGATACAAAAATCCCTCGATCATTTCATTTGCACCAAAAGCACTAATTGGAATCGCATCGAGATAATACGGCACGACAACACCACCCATGCTGAGCGAAATAACATCGACTCAGTCGGCAACGGCGGCACCAAAC